CTAAAGAATACACAAACTTAAACCACTAGAGCCAATAAATGAATCAAAGTTGCAGAATACAAGATCAACATACAAAATTCAGTTTTCTATATGATACCAAGGAAAATCCAAAAATTAAATTAATAAAACATTACATTTCCAATAGTATTAGAAAAAATGCTTTGTAATAAATTTAAGCAAGGAAATGCAAGACCTGTGTACTAAAAACAAACAAACAAATGCTGAAAGAAATTATACCTAAATGAATGGGGAAAAATCCCTATGTTCATAGACTGAAGGATTAATGTTAAGATGGCAATACTACCCAAAATGATCTACAAATTCAATGCAAAGTCTACCAATATCTCAATAGATATTTTTGCAAAAAATGAAAAAGTTAATACTAAAATTCATAAGGAATTTCTAAGTATTTCAAATAAACCAATCTTGAAACAAAAAAAAGTACAGCTGGAAGACACACACTTCCCATTTCCAAACATACTACAAAGCTACAGTAATCAAAATAGTGTGACACTGACATAAGGATAGATATATAAATCAATGAAATAGAATTGAGAGCCCAGAAAAAAATCCTATATATATATGGTGAATTGAGTTTTTACAATGCCCAAACTATTCAGTGAGAGATAGAACAGTCTTTTCAACAAATGGTGTTGGGACAACTGGACATTCACATGCAAAATAATGAAATTGGACTCTTCACACAATATACAAAAAATCACTCAAATTTGATCAGCAAGCCGATTGTAAGAGGTAAAACTATGAACCTCTTAGAAGAAAATGTAGGTGTAAATTTTTCTCACATTGGATTTGGCAATGGTTTATTATTAATAGATATAACACACGAAGCTCAATAATTAGAAAATAAATTAGACTTAAGCAAAATTAAAAGCTTTAATGTATCAAAGAACTTCATCAAGTAAATTTCAAATGTCTTACCACAAAAACAAAGTGAGATGATGGATATGTTAATTAGCATGATTTCATTATTCCATATTGTACACATATATCAAAACATGACATTGTATCCCATAAATATATAATTATATGTCAATTAAAAATACTGTTAATTTTAAAAAAGAAAAGACTCATAGAATTAGAGATATTTGCAAATCATATATATATATGAGACTAGTATCCAGAATACATACATAATTATCCAACTCCACAATAAAAAGGCAGACGACCCAATTATAAAATGGACAACGTATCTGAATAACATTTCTTTAAAGAAGATATGTGGGTGACCAATAAATACATGAAAATATGCTCAACACCATTAGTCATCAGATAAATGCAAATCAAGACCTCAAGACACCACTTCACATCCAGTTGCATGGATATAATTTTAAAAATCTAAAATAAGTGTTGGTGAAGTTGTGGAGAAATTAGAACCTTCATACACTACTGGTGGGAATATGGTGTAGCTGCTGTGAAAAACAGATTGGGAGTTCATTTGGTAACCCTAAGTCAAACATAGGGCTACCAAATGAACCAACACAACACAACAACAGCAGAGCATTAAACCAGGAACAGGACTCTTCTAACCACAGAGCCATATGCTAGACCACAGATCACAGACCCATGAAGCCTGCCCTGGCTGTGAGTGTTGGCTGGTAACAACTCTTGTCTTACACTTTCTCCAGAGAATTGTATTTTGCCTAATGGGGGCCACGTTGCCTCAGAGGCTATGCTCTGCTTCACCTACAGACTTTGATGTTTAACTGACACTGAAATACAAAACTGCAATCACTTGCTGTCAAGGTGGGATGACTTGTGTGTGCTTCAGAATTTCCAGGTGGGATTAATTAAAGCTAATCTCTAGTTAAACCCCATTCTCCACCATCATCCCCTTCCCCCATTCTGTCCTGCTTCCTTTACTCCCTTTAGTTTGAGAGCATTAGAGGCATACGTTCGTAGCATTTGTTTTGGGCATGGCAACACTGTGGTGTTGTGATTTTGTTTATCATTTGTCATTTGGAGAGACAATGTGCATGTGAATATGCTTTGCATTTTGTAGATCTAAAGAAAGTCAGTGCTATTTGTGGGTTAAAGAAGATGGAGTGTCAAGGGAAAAAAACAAACATTTCTGGCATATTCTTCTGTTTGAGTCTAACAGAGGAGTGAAGGTAGCAGAGGCGGCTCGAGAAAATTTTGTGTCATGTATGAGGAGAATGCCATTGGGGGGAAAGCACAGCAAGAAAATGGTTTTATTTCAAATTGGGTCACTTTGACCTGAGTGATTGTCCACGTTCAGGAAGACCATCAGGCTTTGATGAAGACCATTTAAACACTTTAATCCACGATGATCCACGTCAATCAACCCAAGAATTGGTAAATGTTATGAACTGTGACCAGTCAACCATCATGTGACATTTGCATTCAATGGGCAAATGGAAAAACGCTATGAACTTATGCACCAACCCAATGCTTGCATAAGGATCTCTGTTTCAGGCTCTGCTTCTAAACAGCCTGATCTAAAGTAGCAAGGGTCTCTTTATAGAAACATTCCAGCTAAAGTTACAAAAAGAGGAAAACATAAAGCAGAGTGTATTTACCATCTATTAGAAGAACCTAAACTGAAGTTGAACCCAGGCCATTGCCAGACCATTGCTGCCATTGCCTTGTTAAGCCATGGTATGGCCATGTGTGCTTTTTAGCTATGGCCAGGTCATGTTTTCTTAAACTTTGGTCCCCTTGCCTACCTTGACGAGGCAAATCTCCTCTTTCTTTCTCTCTCTAATTTATTTTCTAAATAAAATATATTTTCTAATCTAAAATAAAAGAAAATGAAATTGAACCTAAATCCAATCAAGTTTTCTAGAATTAATCACCATTCTATAGGAAATACAGTGTAAAGAAGTATATGTTAATGATGACATCATTAAGATCCAGACTGTAGGAAAATACAGAATGAATGACTACTTCATCAACAATTAAAGGGAAAATTAAAAAGTGAGAACTTATACATTCAAAGAAATTTAGGATATATGTACAACAACCAATCAAAATATATGGGTCTTATTTGGATCTTGGTTCAAACAAACTTAAAAACCATTCGGGAATTTGAACATGGATTGGACACAAATGATATTAAGGAAATGTTAATTGCTAGGTGTGATAACAGGATTGTGGTTACACAGTAGAAAAAAGAGAATCCTTATCATATATATGATAAAATTTCAAAGTATATATATATATACATATATATACTTTGAAATATGTATGCCTAAAGGGATATTATGTTTAGAATATACTTTTAAAAAACTTAAATTTTTTTTCTATTTTAAAGATGCGGGGTACAATTCAGGGTTCCATATGCAAATGTTCATTTTGCAGATACCTTTGTTGATGAGGTGTGCCCCCCCAGCAAATTCCCACTACTGCCAATCCCGCCTCCACTCCACCCAGCAGTTTCTCACTACTGCCAATCCTTTTCTTATAGTATTATGATAATTGCTCAAAGTTTGCTTATGTGTGAGAACATGTGATACTTAGTTCTTTGTTTCTGTGATAGATCACTCAGTACTATAGACTCTAAGTCCATCCAAGTTGCTGTGAAATTCATAATTTTGTCCTTCTTTATGACTGTGTAATATTCCATCGTGTATATGTACCACATTTTTTAAATCCAGTCCTCTTTCGACGGGCGGCATGGTTGATTCCATGTTTTTGCTATTATGAACAATGCTGCAATAAATATGCATGTTCAGATATCTTTTTATAGAGTGATTTGTGTTCCTCTGGGTATATTCCCAGTAGGGGGATTGCAGGATCGTGTAGAAGGTTGATTTTTAGATCTTTTAGGAATCATCAAACTATTTTCCACAGAGGTTGTATTAGTTTACACTTCAACCAACAGTGAAGAAGTGTACCCTTTTTGCCACATCCTCTTCAGCATCTGTTGCTTTTTGAGTTACTGATGATGGCCATCCTGACTGGAGTTAGGTGGTATTTCATTGTGGTTTTATTTTGCATTTCTTTGATGACTAGTGAGGCTGAGCATTTTTTCAAGTATCTGTGGCTGCTTGTATGTCTTCTTTTGAGAAGTGTCTATTCATATCTTTTGCCCAATTTGTCATGGAGCTGTTTTTTTCTTTTCAGCACATTTGAGTTCCTTGTAGATCCTAGATGTTACACCTTTGTCAGACATACAGTTAACAAATATTTTTTCTCAGTCTGTGGGTAAAATAATTTCTAAGGGTGGAAAATGGGTAAGAATAAAGATGAAATAAGATTGGCCATGAGTTGTTTACTGTGGAAGCTAGATGATGAGTAGTGCATAGGTTTGCATTATACTATTCTATTTTGCATATGCTTGAATTTTTCCATAATAGGTTAAAATAAAGTCACTATATATTAACAATGGTAAACTATAGTGTATTATTTAGCAAAAAAAAAAAAAAAGGAAAAAAGAAAAGAAACAAACCAGAAAGATCTTAAGAAGAATTAGAAATAAATTCACTTTTCTTGACTCATTTTCTGTCCCCCTAGACATTCTGGTATGAAAAATGATGAGCATTGGTAGTAAAGACCAGTTTGCCAGTGGGGTGGGTGGGGCAGATGCTCTCTATTTTAAATTTTGATATCTTACTCATCATAGATTTTCTTGCACTTTTAAAAATATTGCATTATAATGTTATTTTTCTTGACTACTGAGGACTTTGAAACTCCCCTTAAATTCTGTGCCCAAGTCCTGGTTTGGGGTGAAGGATGCTGGGAGCAGAGGACAGAGAAAGTCCCCAGAGAAGGAAGAATGGCCAACATTCCCTGAAATGATATTGCCTTTCCCCAGCAGACAGGAAAAGGCCCAGAACTACACAAAGAAGGGAGAGTGACAGGGCCCAGGCTGGGGATGTCAAATGGGACTTGGATGAGAATGGGGGCAGGCTGACGCCCAGGCAGACTCCAGGAGGCTGGACGAGGCGAGATGGGGGAGGAGCCGCCGTCGGTGACGACAACGTCACGTGACCGTCCAAGACTGATTCCCGCGCCTTGGTCCAGCGTCAGAGCTGTCATTCGTCGCTCCCTTGTCGGTGGCGGTACCTGCTCCAGGTGGACCTGAGGGCCTGCGGCCAGGGGCGGCCCCGAAGGCAGGAGGCGGAGGGGAAGCAGGTAAGGGACCTGGAAGGGGTCTCTGGGCTTGGTAGGGGAAGCGGCCCGGCCTGCAGCCCCCCCCCGCA